AGCGCAGGCACCCGCCGCGGGCGCCGCGGATTCCGCGAGCCGCCCCTCTCCCCCGCTCCGCCCCCACCGCCTTTTCTTTTGTGTCCCGCAGCCCGGGAGAGGCTCCTGCCGCGGTGGGAGAGAGTGGGGGTGGGGGGACAGCCTGGCCGCCCCTTGGAGCAGAAAGTCGAGGAAGCCGGCGCCCCACGCTTCGCTTCCTGCAGCAACAGGTTGCGCCTGCGGGCTGCAGAGGCTGCTGGCTTTGCAACTGCTCGTCTGGAGCAAGGTTTTCCCGGGGCCCTGTGGGCAGAGGCTGAACTTGTTAAGATAAGGCGTGTGACTGGGGGCCTTGTACGTACCTCTCCCGCCTCCACCCCGCACGCCGCACCCCAACATAGACCCACTGGAGAGGCAAACAACTGCAGTTCATGTTAGGTTGAACCATGTGAAACTGCCGTTTTTGTGGCTCAAGACTTGCCTATGGGCAACTTCCTATGATTCGTCTTGCGTGAAGGTATTACTGATTTTTCTTTTTTCACTCGCATGTGGGTTTCCTCTTTCAATACTCTCGGAGCTGCCCTGTTCTGTCAGGGTGACAGTATCGGTGTTCTCCATGGGCAGTTCGAACCCTTCATGGACTGCCAGCCGTGTGCTGGGCGCTGCCCCTGCCCCATCTCTAACCGTCCAACGCTATTCCAAACCCCATTTTAGAGATGAGCCAAGGAAAGCGTGGGGAAGGTATGCAGCGGCTCTCTAACAGGTGGGGCTAGAGAGAACCCGGCCCCGCCGTCTCTTCGGCAATGCCCTTGAGTTTTGTTTTGCTTTCTTAGTGTGTCCCATGTTTTCATGAACTTCCTTAGGAGTCCACGCTGGACTGTTTCTGTGCCTCTAGAACAGTGACGCAAACAACTGCATCGGGGGACAGGTTGAAAATAATAAAACTTTAAACCAAATACTGTTTTGTTAGTGCTGTTTAAAATATGAAAGAAATAGATTTTGCAGGAGGTGGGGGGGGTCAAGAGCTGCCTCTGAGATTTGTTAAAGGTCAGGATGCTTCATTACAAATGACAGAAGCCAACTCTGGGTAATTTTAGGAGAAAAAGGACTGGGTACTGGTGGCTTAGAGAAGTGACAGGAAGGCTGGCTATCCACGCCCAGAAGCCCAGGGGAGGGCAACTCAAGACGTGTAACGGGCCCCCTGATTGGTGTGTGGCCATGGCTGCCACCACGAGACTCTGGATGCGGCTGCTGACACGGCTCCCGTCTCTGCAAGAATGAATTAGAAGCAGCCTCTGCCTGAGTGTGTGTGTCTCCACGCACAAGCCCAGGAGCAAGCATCTGATTGGCTGAGCTAGAGTCACCCTCCAAGGGCACAGTTTGGGCACCTCAGCTGGCCTCACAATGAGAGGCAGGGCTGTCACCCACAGAGTCACAAAGGCGGGCTCAGAACTTGGGCAGCTCCCATCACGCCCCGCCACAAACCCCGGATGACAAACGTCCAGTACGAAGCTCCTCTTAAAAGAAGTTCCACCAAAAGAAGAGAAGAAGCGAAGCTGGATGGTCACCATGTTTGCTTTTAAGCCAGGATTCGTGGGAGTGCCGAGCTCTGGGCTCCAGGCTCCGAGTCATGCGAGGTATTTGCTTCACATTCACGTTCTCGGGCCCCCTTCCCCAGTTTGAAATCAGTGCATTTGAAATAGGAACCGGGAATCTACGCCCCCAGAAACCAGAAACATGGTGACATGACTCTACTGATTAGTCTGGCGACTGTATAAGGAGATAGCCCCTGAGGGAGCAGTTTCCCAAACCTGCAAAGTTGAGGGGCCCGGCAGAAAGCGAGGCCCCCAGACGGGTAGACCTGTGGGTGGGAGGAAGCAGCTCGGAGCAGACCGGCACCTCTCTGCCAGAGACCACAGCACTGCGCCTACACAAATGCTTGATATGATTTCAAAACAGGTAAAAATGACAGTTTTGTCAGTCCACCCTCCGCCCTCCATCGTTTGGTTTCAGCAGCCCGTACTGAGTGCCTACTGTGCGCCTGACTCTGGGGGCACAGAGGTAAGTCAGGGGCCCCACACAGCAGGTGGGCTGCTAGGTCCGTCCAGTGCACTATGAGAAGGGCGATTCGGGAGGCTTTGCCTTAGTTCTTGTGTCCTGCGGTCCGGTTTGGGAAGCCTGAGATGTCGTTGGGATGTGTCGTGAATGAGCCAGGTGGCAGCTCAGGAACGGTGCTATTTCTCAAACTTCAGGATGTCTTAAGGATCAGTCACCAGGGGAGTGTGTTAAAAATGCATACTGGAGGCGGGGAAAATGGCGTAGATGATAGAGGCTCTGTTCATCCCTCTGGCCACCAAATCAAAGTTGTGACGGAGACGAGGAGCAGCAGCAACAAAAAATCTCCTGGGATCTAGAAGAACAAGCCACACAACTAAGGAGAAATCCAAAGAATGGCAGAAGGTAGGACAGGGTGAGGACTCAGGCCTGCCCGGTCTGAGCAGCTGAGTGAGACAGAGGCTGCAGCGGCAGCCTCCTCTTAAAGGGGCCGCGTCCGCGAGCGGATTTTTGGTGATGGACCTGCTTGCTCTGAGCACCAGTACCGATTCAGCTGCGCACAGGGAGCCCCAGGGACTTACAAGGAGACATTGCCAGAGCGAGGGCCGAGGCGAGACTCGCTCTGTACAGAAGTGCGGGCGGTATCCATTGTTTCCTGTTGAGCCCTGCCCCCTCCTAGTGCGTGGACACAGTGCCGCCATAGCCATGAGGCCATCAAACTGGAAAACAGAGGTCTCTCTGCCCAGAGGATTCCCTGAAACCCCTCCTCCCCCAACTCGCGGCCCCACCCAAGCCACATCCAGGTGTATCCTCAGCGAATCAGGTGCTCCTTGCTGAGACTCACACTGGTGGCAGCTGGCCTCGGTTTTTGGTGTGGCCCTCTGAGGCAACTCTAAGCACAGCATCTGTGGATTGTTCACTGAATCTTAACAGGTGGCCCCGGAGGGCTAGAGGCTTGGGCTAAGTGTGCCCTGCAGCTGAACCCCTCTCAGGACTGTGCCACTGGACACCTACTTCACAAATCCACACTAATAAGACCGGGAGACTTAGGAGCTTTGCTTAGTACATAGAAACAGACGCGGAAAGGCAGCCAAAATGGGAAGACGAAGAAGCAGAAACCGTATGAGAGAACGGAACAGAGATCCAGGTATAATGGAGTCAGGCAATCTAACAGATGCAGAGTTCAAAACACTGGTTACAAAGATGCTCAATGAACTTTTAGGAGGTGTAGATAAATTCAGTGAGAACTTCATAAAAAACGTAAAAATGGAAATGGAAATTATAGAAGGGAACCAGTCTGAAATGAAGAGCACATTATCTGAGATGAGAAGCATATTAAATGGAATAAACAAAGGCATAAACAAAAAAAGAAAAGAATCAAATCCCTATCTAGAGGATGAGAAAGACAAGGACACATCAGAATAGCAAGAGATAAGATGCCAAGACTATAAAAATAATTTAAAGAGAATATCGGACACTATTAAAGGTCAAAATATCTGCGTCATCCGGGTGCCTGAGGGAAAACAAGATGTTGAACAGCTGTTTGAAGAAGTAATGACGGAAAACTTCCCTACCTGGTAAAGGAAATGGACATAAAACCCCAGCAAGCTTGACATACAACCCCAGGAAGTTCAGAGAGATCCCAAATAAGATGATTCTAAAGAGGCCCATGCCAAGACACATCATAAGTAAAATGCCAAAGGTTAAAGACAAAGAGTAAGTCTTAAAAGCAGCAAGAGAAAAGCAGTTAGTTACCTACAAGGGTGTTCCCATAAGACTGTCAGCTAATTTCTCAACAGAAACTTTGCAGGCCAGAAGGATTTGGCACAAAATATTCAGAGTGGTTAAAAGTAAGAGGCTACAACCAAGATTAGTCTATCCAGCAAAGCAATTATTCAGAATCACAGGACAGGTAAAGAGCTTCCCAGACAAGAAAAAGCTAAAGGAGTTCATCATTACCAAGCCAGTAGTATGGGAAATGTTTGAGGGACTTTATTAAGAAAAATAAAAAAGAAAAAAAGATTAAAAATATGAATAATAAATGGCAATAACTACAAATCTAGCAATAATTGCTTTAAATGTAAGTGAATAGGGTAGATGAATGGATAAGAAAACAAGACCCCTACATGTGGCCTATAAGAGGCTCGCTTCAGTTTAAGAGACACACAGACTAAAGGGAGGGGGATGGAAAAACATATTGCTTTGATGGACCCAGAAGATATTTAAGTCAGAGAAAGATAAACTCTGTATGATTTCACTTATATGTGGAATCTAAGGAATAAAAAGAACAAACTGATCAAAAACAGACTCACAGACATAGTGGACAGTTTGGTGATGGACAGAGGGGAAAGGGGTTTGTGGGGCTGGGAGAATGGGGTGAAGGGCTAAAGAAGTACAAATTAGTAGCCGATGGATGGTCACGGGGATGGGGAGCACGGCAGAGGGAATGCAGTCAGCATTAATACGTCGGCTAGGTGGAGGGTCAGGGGAGGGAGGGAGCAATTGGGGGGATCGTTTTATGAACTATATAGATGTCTAACCAATGAACTGTATACTCGAAACTAATTAAAATAAATAAATGCTTTAAAAAGCAGATTAATCGGCCTCACCTCTAGCAATTAGGTTCGATAATCCGCGTGTTAAATAAACGCCTCATGCTAGGCCGATGCAGCTGTTGGCCCATGAGCGTTTTCTGGGTTCTGTGCTGCCGGTACGTGAGCTGCTCGCTCCCCGTGTGCGGTTTCGTAAGTGGCGCCCAGACCTTCCGTTTTGGCACAGTCAATGAAAAACCGAGATGAAAAACTCTTGCTTTTTGACCTGACTTTTATCAATTGTCTCACTAGTAAAATCTAGTGAGATTTTAATGTTCTCTTAAAATTTACGCTGAATTTCAAGAGGGACAACACTGTGGAGCAGGATGTAAAGACATCTGTCTGGCCCTGGGGCTCCAGGTGCTAACTCAGCTGACACCTCTCCCTTCACAGAGGTGAGAAGTAGCATCTCGTTTGGGATTTCCCCTCCCCTGCTGTTTCACGGAGTGAGTTTGAAAGGCTATTTATTCATAGCTCTCCCAAGGGCGCTCTGCCACATCTCTCCTGCTTTCTCTCTGTCCCTGGCTGAGGCGTGGTGGCATTAGCGGGAAGTCGGCCTTTCTTAGTAGCTGAGACTTTAATCCTTCCAGCTGCTGTGCTCCCTGCCTGTCCTTAGCAGAAAACAGGACAAGATGCCGTGTGGTGTGCATGCGTACGCGTGTGTATATACATACATAATGACGCGTGTGTGCATACCTGCCTCCTGCTCAGAGCAGCCCTGTCCTACCTGCATGCATCTGTCCTTCCATGCTTTCCCCCTACCCTGTGCAGCCCGGAGACCTGCAGAGAGGGCTTCGTAAGAGCTGACAGGCTTTGTTTTCTTCCTATTTGTTCTCTACGGAAGTGACCTGCAGACGGAGCAGAGCACTGGTTCCCTGTGAGAACCAGTGAAGAGCTGGAGCACTTCAGAGCCCGAGGCCAGTCGTTCGCAGCAGCTGTGCCTGGCAGGGACATTGAATCTGGGAACAGTTACCAGGGGCCTGGTGTGTCTATGGGTGAGACCTAGAGCCGACACAGAAGCTTGGGGTTAGTGAGGTTGGTACTGGGAGCCACTGGGGAATCTAAAAAAAAAACAACCAAAAAACCAAAAAAACCATAATTTGAAAAAGGGAGAGTTTCGGGTCATTCTCTTGTTAGCTGTGCCCTCTCGTACAGTATGTCACTGAAGTGGAGAGGACTTAGCAGACGAGGCCACATGTAAGGGAATTCAATGTGAATTCACATCTTCTTCATTCAAATAGCCCATGAAGTCCTCCCTCCTCCTTTGACTTGGAGGAAAGTAGGCAGTGGGGTCCACCGCCCTCTTGTACAGTGTGTCACTTTTTTGACGGTCCCTCTCCCCGAATCTCGCGGTGTGTGTTTCGGGAGCACCCATGTCCTTATTTTGAAAGTTGTCGTGTGTCTACTGTATAAGTAAAATCCGGTATCCCTCGATGCCAGCACAGACGGGACGAGCAGAGCACCTCAGTCCCTCTGGGAGGCCCTGTTTCGGCTCACGTAGCCTCGTGTGCCGGCCTGAGCGAGTCAGCTATTTTGGCTTATTTGCTTTTATACTCAGCAGCACTTACGGAGCCCCGACCGTGTGCCCTGCCTGTGTTCAGTTCTGGGGAACAGGGTGGAAGAACAGGGTGCACATTGAGCATTCTCAGGGGACGCTGGACTGGTAGCTCCTTTTAGGATTCCTGTTTCTCCCTCTCCCCAGGGCTAAGTGAGAGCCCCCCTCTGCCCTGCCTTTCATCGCCTGGACCCCTAGTTGTCCAGGTGGTTGGTTACCTGGGGCGAAGGTTTCCATCACGGCTACCTTGTGAGCATGTGAGAAAGACAGATTCCAGTGTGACCTGATCCTTAAAGAGTTTGATCCGTGCCCTGGAGGCCATGCTCTTCTAAGTTTGACTTGCAGATGAGGGGAGGGGGCATGTTTGAAATGAGATCAGTAAGCAAATGGGTAGAACAAAGGCAGAGTAGGATACAGCTCCAGAGACAGGGGCAGCCACACAAACGAGGGGAAAAGGAAACCTGCCATCTCTCTGTCGCTGGGCACGTCTGAGCCTCTGCCCAGAGCCTGACGGGGTTCCGCACAGAGAGTGGCCTGGTGTCTCCAGCGTGGACTCTGGAGGCAAATGGCTGGGTGCCGAGTCTGGCCTCATCATTAATCAGCTGGGACCTCGAGCAAGCCTCCGAAATCCTCTCTGCGTCGCTTTTTTCATGGGATAATGCCTCAGACAAGGTCCCGCCTGTAAAACAGGTACAACGCCGTCTGGAATATAGTAAGCGCTCAATAAATGTTGGTTTCCAAGACCGCGCAGCCGTCTCTGTACCAGCCGGTGTTTCCTGAACCGGTAAGAGTCCGCGTTCTGAGTGTGGCCCCATGTGGAGGGGATCGTCTCTCTCTCTCACGTCCCTGGGGCTCCAGGCAGCCTGAGTGCTTGCTTCCCCGCCCCCCATCGGCTTAGGCTGCAGGGCTTGCTCTGACGCTTTGCAGCCTCCCGGGGACAGCTCCTGGTGCAGGCAGCCTGCTGTGTTAGTGACCGCTTGCATCTTCTCTCCCCGCCAGGCATGCTGCCTTGAGCCGCTGACCCCGCTGGAGACCCTGCATGCCAGCCTGGCCTGAAAACGGAGGACTCCACAGACCCGGTCCTCCCCACACCTCTTCTGCACAGAAGCAAACCCTCCTGACTTAGCCACGGCTTCCAGAACCTCTGAGACGGGAGGCCCCCAGGTTTACCTCATGTTTGGGGCATCTTGCTAGCTATGGCCCTGATCCTAGGCTTCTTGCTGCTGCTGGGGCTGGGCGGGAATACCATTTCAGAGGAGCCGCTGTCATCCAAAAGGACTACTTCTGATGTTCTGGAGTTTAAACTCCGGGAAGTGAAGTATGAGACCGAAGACTCTTATAAACTTGGACCCATTGGCATTCTCTTTCAAGTAGTGCACGTCTTTCTCCACGTGGTGCAGCCCAATGCTTTCCCCGAGGGTAAGTGCCAACCGCGGGAAAAGATAGAGTTTGCCTCCAGACACGCTCACGGGCACACGCGCAACATTGTCTGTTAATGACAACACGGTCAGTGCAGAGGATAGTCAGTATTCTAAAGTATGAGGGTCAAAGCGATTGAATTGCACCAGAGCAGAACGTCTTTAGATAGAAGTTAAGAAAACTCGTACCGGATTAAACAGGTTGTCAGAAATGTGACTGTAAGAAATGAAATCAAACTATGTTGCGATGTCGGTTTTTCTAATTCTTTATCCTCCTCTCCCTCCCTCCTTTTTTTTTTTTTTTTAAGCTAGAGCCATACATTTATTCTCAAGTGCATACCAAAGATAAAAATTAGGGTAAAAATGCAAATTCTCTCTGTCGTCCAAATAAGAAGTTAATCATTGCCTCCGGGCTTCAGAATTTAACTCTCCTCCACCCCCTGCAAAGTGCAGTTTTCACATTGCTTAGGGCAAGGACAAGCCTGACCAAACTGACTTGCAGGTCTTTTCAATAACTGGTCTTTTCAGTCCCCAGTGTCTGTGAGGAAAGGGGAGACGGCCGTTTGTCAGAACCTCCGTGCTGTTATTCTTCCTGCGTTCGACTCCTGACTTGGCTTTTATGCCATTGTTTATCCCCTCTTCTGTACTTGGATCCCTCGGGGTGTGTGTTTCCAGGAACAAGAGTGTGTAAGTGAACATGGTTTGTGAGAAGTGTCTGCGACTAGGGTTTGGCGGTCTAAATTTGTACTGGTTTAACGTTAGAGCTATCCTCAGCTTGTTCTTTAAACTACAAAGACTGAGCGCTATGACGATTACTAACGATTATAAAATTCGTGGCCATCTGTATTATCTTCCATAGCTGCTCAGCTATTGTTAATAAGAGGTGTGTGTGTGTGTGTGTGTGTGTGTGTGTGTGAGAGAGAGAGAGAGAGAGAGAGAGAAAGAGAGAATTCAGTGGACTTCAGCATTTGTTTATATTATGGGCAGTTTATACGTTTTCATCAAAATATATTTATATTGAAGTTTTTTATATTCATTTGTCTGAGGTTAAGCAATTGAAACAGTTTGAAGTGTAGTTCTCAATTTTTTGTGAAGTTTAAATTTTCATTTCATGAAATAAATCACTCTGGGCCCTATTGTCATTGAAGAAAATCCTGAAAACTACTGCTTTTTTCAAAGACTAAATTTGGAACTCCAAGAGACAGAAATAGAAAGTAAGCTCTTTTATTTACATTGAATATAAATTCAGTTTTCAATAGATACCTCTTTGTTTATTTGTGGTCTTGATACAAATATTATTGAATAAACAAATACCTACTAGTATTTCTACTTGCTTTTTTTTTTTTTGGTAAAACATAGAATTCAGTTGTTTAATATGAATTTACAGTGACTTCTTCAAAAACTTTGTGAGGCATCCAGGTGTCAATCTAAGGCATTTCATGTAATTAGTTAATCCTATAATCTCTTTCCATATGGTGTTTTATTTCTCTTTCTCTGGATTTCAGAGGAAGGCATCCTCAGACTCATTATATAAGGGAAAGTAGTATTTTAAAAAGTTTTCATTCAAATGGTCAGGTTAAAAGATATCTTGCTCCCAGTGCATTCTAAGATGCTGAACTCCAGCATCATTATTAGTCTAGAAGGAGATGTCAGCAGAATTTAAACCCTAACGTAACCTGAGGGAATTAGCCTTGCATGTCCCTTGACCTTATTCAATACTTATTACCTAAGAGAAAGAAATTCTCAAAAGTTTCAGCAGCAGGCCACAGCAGACCAGCACTATCCCTTTTGAAATACAATTGTTAGGTTGCTTAAAAAATATAATATTGAATTTAGCGGGTGACATCTTAGGGTGTTGTTTTCTTCCACCATCCTATTATTTATATTCTTTCACCCAAAGTAACCATAAGGTGCTTTGCAACATAAAGGAAACATAGGAGATAAGCATGGTTTTTCCATTTGAGGCCAGTGCCTTTCATGAGCATCAAATCATAGGTCGGTGTCTGCACAATTAAAGATGGGGCGGGGGGTGGAGAGAGAGAGAGAGAGAGAGAGAGGAGGAGGGAGAGAGAGATGGATTCCTTAACTAAATTAATGCATTAACCCAAACAGAAGACTTTAGGACGAGTCTTCCCTGGAGTAACACAGGGTATATCTTCCATTTGGAAGACTAGAAGTGTTTTGAACGCAAAGTCTCAGTGCCATCAGACTGGGGGGTTTTCCACTTTTGCATCCTGTGTTCAGTTAAAATGGTATACCGAAGTTTTTTCTGCACTTGGAACTCGCTAAAGAGAAGCACATGTTGTATCCTTATAAATACAAGATGGAAAGGTCTCGTTTAGCTGGGACTTGAGACAAAGGCCTAACCTAACTTCCTGGGAGAAGAAAAAATTAGCTTAGAAAAGACCAGGGAGACAATCGGCTGTGACAGAATGTGCTCTAGAGCCTGGTGTGGGTGTTTCATAAAGACCCACCCTGGTCTGAAGCTGCAAGGGTGATACAGTGTCTGGGGGCCTAGGATCGCCGGGAAGAGAGTGATGGCTTCCATTTGGGGGGAGTCATTTGTCCATTCATTCGGTTTAGGAAGGGCGTTGATGGCAAGACAACCGGAGGGAATCGAGGAGAGGGTCTTCTGGGCAGAGGGAACAGCATGTCTAGAGAGTGGAGGAGATGGTGGTCCCCTGTGGCCCCCTGAGGTGGGTGTTCGTGGGAGAACACTGCCAAAGTCGGGGAAGCAGAGCTGGAGGACCCTGACTGACCATTTTGCAGAGGGAAGGAAGCTCAGGCGGTACGAGCAGAGGTTTCATTCACTTAATGAGCATTTACTGAAAGCCTCTGCCTTGTGTGGTGCACCTTGCTGGTGCGGTGAGCCAGGATGGAAACAGAATTGGGTTTTGGGAAAAGAATCTGGCAGTAGCCGGTAGGATAGGTCACGGGCCTGGAGGCTCCTGCAGTGGTCCAGAGGGAGGTGGAAACGAACGAACTTGGAACGAGACAATGGTAATGGGCAAGGTGGAGGCAGGATCTGTTTTACATCCGAAGGACTTGGTTCAAGTCTTAGCTTTTGCCTATTATGTACTTGGCGATTTGGCCAAATCGTTTAATTTTCAGAGCCTCTGTTCTTGTAGTTATAATATGATTATAATCATAACATACTTTATAGCTTTTATCTGTGAGGCTTAAATGAGACAATGCGTGGAAAGCCAATGTTTAAAACCATGCCCGAAAGGCACAGAGAAAAATCTTCAGTAAATGTGGCTGCTATTGATATTATTTGAGAAGAAGAATTGGCCAGCTTTCGTGCCAAGAATGGTGTCAAGAGGGGACGCGGGGAAAAGGAGGTGTCTCCGGGAGGGATGGTTAAAATGTCCTCGCTGCTGCTCCCTGGAGAACATTCCACATGCAACTGCCTCATAAGAGGCTGTTCCATTACTTTGGAAGTGAAGTGGGCTGCGTCTCCCGGCAAGCCCCACATAGCAGGACTGGGTCCAGAAGCACAGGGCTCGGGTGTAATGCCAGCGTTCTGAGCCGTCTTTCCTCCTCCACCAGAATATCTGCATCTCATGAGCTCTCGCGTTTCTCCGCCTCTTCCTATTCCCCTGCCGTCCCGAGTACCTGTTGTAAGGGATACTTTGCTAAGTGTTAGCTCTTTGGATCTCCCAGCACCTTTGAGAGGGAGATGATGGCGGCGGTTGGTGGTCTTATTTCTATTTGTTGTTTCCCCCTTTACAGATTGGAACACTAAGTCAGACAAGATTACATGTTCAAGGTCACAACTAGCCAGTGGCAGATTGAGAACCTGTCTCTAGGACTGGCTGTCTCTCTTATATTACACAGCTTGGTTTTTTCTCTCCTGAGCTTACTTTGTAGATAATTTATTTCCCTTATAGTGCTTTCAAAATGACTATGGGTTACTACGAAAATAGTAACTTTTGCAGCATTAAAAGTGTGCATGGCAGAGTATTACCTGGTCTGGATGGTACACAGTATCTTTTTGAGTCTGAGGTATCTGTGTTGCATGTGGTAGAGATCATGACCCAGATCAGAGTCATCCTAACAGAAGAAGCAAAAAAAAAAAAGTCTCTTCTGCTTTTATTTTTATAGAAATTCTCTTAGATTATCCTCTTCTCTGTTGTGGTATGTTTTTAAATTAGATATTAGGATGCTTGACCCGCTTCTAACAGCGTTGGAAGCTAATCTGGTTTGCCCCTTGGGTTTGGTGGGTGCAGGAGAGAAGAGTTAGTAACGTGGGGAAAAGGAATTTGGGGTGCCATCGGGATGTTCCATCTTGCAGGCGTTCCCTCTGGTGCAGCTAACAGAAACCTATTAGCTAAGGCAATGAAAAAACAAAAGACTTCTCATCAGAACTCTAGGTTATCTGAGGGGTTGGCCACCAGGGTCTGGACCTTGCTCCCTGCAGCCTGCACCTTGCACTTGGCTCCTGTCTGCACAGAACCCCATTGTTCCTCCTCCTAGCTCTGCCCGCCCCGCACCCCGGCACCTCCGCTCCTGCCGTCTTCGGGGTGGAGAACCAGGCTGCCGGCGTTATAGGTTGTGGTCCGGTTCCCTAGAGAGCGGCTGGGCATTCTTTCTCTTTCAGGGCGCAGTCCCAACTCCAGTCCTGCCTGGGCCAGTCACCAAACATGGGCCCATTGAGTCACGGGCCAGGGTCACGACCTGTGGGCCTGACGCTGCGGGTCCACGTCTGTCCACATGGCATCGCAAGCAGGGAGGGGGGTTTCCAGGGAAAAGGTGGCCGGGCAGACAGCCCGATAAGTGTGTCTGTGCCAATGTCCACGTCGAATGAGGATGTGATGTCGTGTCCAACGCCGGCGTGTTCTTAGTTCGAACAAAGCCAGCACTGTTCTTCAGATCATGTAACTGATGCTGACAATGGGCCTGGCCATATAAGGTCATGGAGGGAAATAACTAGCATCTACTGTTCCTCTCTCCCAGGTGTCACTCACACGGGGCAGGCCACGACTAGCATCTCTTTTTCAT